TATTTGGAACTTGTTGTTTACCTTAAATACAACATCTACGAATTTACTACACATTCAGTTACAACCGAAGATTTATGATTATATTTTGTTAACTGTTCGTATTTTGTTTGTTTCATCAATATGTTCTCAAGTACCAGTCTTCATGATCTTCTTAATAGAATCAAAACGTATTTCAGTAAAAACCTGTATCAAAAATCATCGTTCTTTTCTCTTTTTCTCAGTCTTAATAGCAGCTTTTTTTTTATTGATTTCTGAGTAAAGTCTGGCATATTTACTTGACCTGTAATTTCAGTAATCGATTGTTTTTATTTATCCATACACCTTTTCACTTGCAATTTTCATGAATTGATATTGATGAATTACTTACCGGCATGCTATAGTCCTTGTGATATTTTTCATACATCCAAGTAAGCCGTTTTTTTTAACAAAATTTCAGCTATGTTAAAGAAATTTATTACATATTATGTATTGAGCCCCATAATCGCACTTAAAGGCCGAGTACTCTACCATTGAGTTAGCAACCCTCTCTAAATTAAATCACTTCAATTTTTATTCTCTTTATTAAACCAGCCAGGCGCCTGGACCTGACAATACCACTCGTGTTTGTAAGTTACAAACGGGAGTCAGGTGAGTTTGGCGACGAGTCGCTGCGGCGCCCTAAACTAGGTGACTCTGGCGATAGAGCAGACGCGAAGCGTCTGCTCTGGCGAGCGGAGTGAGTGCCAGGATAGAATCAAGAAGTGAACCACGAATCTCAATTCTCTCGTCTAGACCCAAGCAAGTGCACACACAGCCCAAGGCCAAGGGCACAATTCTTCGACACAGTCGATCATGGTATTATGTATAGTATCATCCAGACGACGCTGAAGATGTGTCCTGATGACGACGACGCGCAAGCGCACCACGGAAGGATGATGTCCCCAGCGACACTTGTCCTTCGCGATGGCGGGAGTGCTCTGCGGCGAGAAGACTCACTGCCAGAAGAGCGGAAGCGATGACGGTGAGAAGCGTTGTGGCACTGCAGATGCGCGGCGGGAAGTGTGCAGCTGACCCGGCGAGAAGCGTTGTGGCACTGCAGATGCGCGGCGGGAACCTTGTAGCGCGCCCAGCGAGAAGCGTTGTGGCACTGTAGATGCGCGGCGGGAAGTGTGCACCAGGCACGGCGAGAAGCGTTGTGGAATCACCCTCGTGCGGACGACATTTATGCGGCTCCGGACGTGCAGCACTTAAATGACACTAGCAGAAGGACCGTCCACGACGTCGCGTCCTTGTGGCGGGAAAACGGAACCACAACGGCGACACGTGCTACCGCCATGCCTGTCCAGGCCTGTCATTATCAACCTCCCGAAGCCGCGATAACGCTCTTCCACGTTCGGTCGGCGCGCGCGAATGGATTCCGGAAGGACCAAAACAAAGACGGCCCGCCTTCACCCGCGGACACCCCATCGCGCATCCCCCTCGCAGCAAACGACCCCTCCATAACCCCCGCCCCCCCCCCCCCCCCCCCCCCCCCCCCCCCCCCCCCCCCCCCCCCCCCCCCCATTCCCCCTCACAACCCGCTTCCACAGCAAACCGCGCCGTCCATAAACCCCATACAACACACCCTCTTTCGGGAGTGGCTATGTGTGTGTCCATCAACCAAAACGCAGACGATGGGTGGTCCTCGAAAACGCAAACTACCCCAAAAACAGACACACACACACACACACACACACACATACACAACTAAACACCATAAAAGATTATTAAAGAAATCTGGAAAATCAGTAACATAACATTAAAATGGAATAATAAATAAATAATAATAAATAGTAAAATAAATAAAATTTAAACGAAATAAATATTAAATAATTAAATAAATAAATAAATAATATATATAAAATAATAAATAAATTAAAAATTAAAAATATTGAGAAAAAAAATAAATATAACATAAAATGGTAAAATAATTAATTAAAAAAAAATAGAAAGAATAAAAATAAAATAAATAAATAAATTAATTAAAACAAATATATATTAAAAAATATATATATATATATATAAATAAACTGAACAACTTTTGCCTCAGCCGGGCCGCCCGGGTCCCGGGTGGCGAGCCCGTGCAAGGACTCCCAGCAAAAAAAAACAAAAAAAAAAAATCCAAAAAATACGAAAACAAACTATGTTATGCAAATCAATAAACTGAACAAATTTTGCCTCAGGGTCACATCGAAATTCGTTACCAATTTTTAAATAAAAATAAAAGTTTAAAAATATGATTTTTAATTTTATTTTTTTATTTTTTTTTGCCTGGTCGGGCAAGTGACCCCAGGCCACTCTGGTAGCCTAGTAAATAAATAAATAAATAAATAAATAAAATAATTAAACCCATTTTTTAATAAATAAATAAATAAATAATTAGTAAAAATAAGAAATGAAAAATAAAAAATAAATAATAAATAGGTAAATTAATAAGTAAACAAACAATACAAATAAATAAATAATGAAAATAAAATAAAATTAATAGGTTAAATTCAAAATTAAATAAAACCGAAATAATAAATTAACTAAAATACAAATATACATAGCAAAAATAATAAAGTAAGAATATAACCAATCTATTAGACCCTTAAAAAAAAGAACCATGAAACATAGGTACGAGCAAATGATTGCCTGCAAACCTAAGAGTCAATCCACCGATAACTTAACCAACGCCTCATAGTACAATTCCACCAGGCTCTGGTATGTATAACACAAATCTATGCCAGACAAACCAGTTATGGGTCACCAGCTTCCTATTGATAAAAATGTCAAAGTTAGAAAATTATAACAAACGAAAAAACAAAATACGAAATTTTCAAAAAAAAAACAGCAAAAACCTTACTTTCTCATATGACACGGCTATCCCGAAACGGCGTGACTGACACACAARAATAMAAACACACGCACGAGGAAGAAAAAGAAGGTACGACGAAAAGCGATTACCGCCATAGCCACTTACGACGAAAAATACCCGACTGTTATGCACTACGAAACAAACTGCATACGCTGGCATTAAATCCATGAAGTATACAGCTAGAACAACGCCGGCACAACCATAGTATATCGTATTTTTTCCTACGAAGCAAAGCTCCCCACTACATGGTGGCCTTCAACCTATTCGAACCTCATAACAGGCATGCCCCTAGTAAGCTCCCCGCTTCGTTCCCCCCTCTCAAAGCTCGAGCATACCTCCAGGTGACGCACCACCTCGGAACGTCACTACAGGACAAGCACACGTGCAACACGGCACAACACCACCATAGCCTGTCTCCCACCAAATAACCCTAAGCACTACAAGACAATAAACAAAAAGCAGCGTCAACCTGACCTTGCCTGCTCACACAACATACATCGTCAACCCCAACCCCGCCAGCAAATTACGTAAGAAAACTTCCTTCTTCTTGACCAGTTTTTCTCCCATCCCGCTCTCTGCTATCTCCATACTAGCTTACCCGCTCTCCCACCCCAATCACCAACAATGTGTTTAAACCACACACCCTACGCTCTTCCCTACCCCATTAATTACCCCTTAATAATACCCCACAAATTTACCAACTACGCAAAGCACCCATGGCATGCACAGCCCTTCCAACGACCACGCCGTAGATGGCACACGCAACTTCGCTCTCGTCATGAACGTAGGACCCGACCTTCATCTCCCGCCAAGTTCGCACGAAACCCCACCCTCTCGCCGCCCCCAATTCTCCGTCGACTACTTGGCATTGCTTCCGCGGCAGCCGTCCACGAGCATCGCCAATGGCAACATCATGAAATTCACAACCGAAAAAAAAAAAAAAAAAACTCGATGACGACGGCAAAGAACCAACTTTGATCAACACAACACGCAATGGCCTACATGGCCGACCGACCACGGATGGCGGCAGCGATCTCCAACAGTGCTTGGCACATCATCCTCTGCGTCTCATCGGACGCCGCATAGTGCGCTTTTTTGGACGGCAACTTCGTGCTCCAATATGTCGCATTGCCTCGTGAAGATGCTGCATTGCCGCTTGCTAGACGATTCGATCGTCGACGACATCAGTGCGCCATGGCGTTCCATGACATCAAAGATGGACTCGAATGCCTGCTGACGCGCGTTCTTCCGCTTCCCGCCTCCTGCCCCGCTACCTACGTTGCTGTCGGACTCCCTCGCAGAAGAACGCTCGTCAGGGCAGCCTTCATCGGCCGCCTCACTACAAACAGACTCCCCGCCACCCGCTCCTCGCCTGGGCAGCTGCACCCCATCCGGACTGCCGGTGTCGGCAATGTTGGGAGGGAAAATCGTGTGGTTCCCCACCATGCCTGCGTGGATCTCGTTGTACAGCGCCCTGTCCATCCGGAACTTGAAGTTGTGCTCCTTCCTCTCTTCGTTCGTCAGCCTGAAAAAATATGACCGGCCGCTAGCATTCTGAAACCTCTGAATTTTCTTGTAGTTCTGGAACAGATTGTCCCACTTCTTCATGCAGTCGTCAGCGCCCTTCGGCCTCCCCGCATTCGCCATCCGCTTCGACATATCCTCCCACTTCCACTCTTTCATCTTCATCCGCCCGTAATTGTGAGCAAGCCGGCGAGGTGCATATCTTGCACCCGCTTGCATCGCACCAGGAGCATTTGGTCTTCTGCAGACCAGTACGTCGGAGACTTCCCGGCGTCGTCACTTACGCCACCTCTGCCTCCACGGCCAACGGATCGACCACGAACACCACCTCTGCCGCGTCCTCTCCCCCTCCCAGCCGTCTTCCCCAAAGGCTGAATTGGAACGTCGTCGTCGTCGTCGTCCCCCGCTTCCACGTCTTCCCTCATCCCTTCGTCTGCGTCGTCACCGAATCCAACGTCGTCTTCGCCTCCATCGCTGTGTGCCCGCATGTTCGACACTCCACGTGTTATGTTCTCCACAGTGGGTCGTGGATGTACCGGCGCTCTGCACGTTCCCTCGTCCCTCACTCCGGATTCGATCGGTGTTGTGCACGCAGGCATCAACGAACGTGCACCGCCCATGCGCAGGGGCCCTGCTGCCACCCAGGGGGGTGCGGGCCAGGTCGGTGTCAATCGATCGACGGACGGAGCAGTCAATCCATGCTGCCGTCCCGCTGGCGATGGCCCGACCGCGCCAGTCACGGGTGCAGCGCGACGAAGTGTGGACTGCTCCGTATGCAGACTTCCACCATGCTCAACGCCACTTGCCGAACGTTCTCCCTCGATGATGAATGTACGGCTCGCCTCCCTGCCGCCGCCAGAACACAACCCGAACCTCAGATCAACTCCTCCGCCGTCGTCGTCCCGCAAGCCTTGATGCAGCAATGACGTGAACCCGCCCCCTTCGTCGGGAGCCGACCCGCCTACTCGCACCGTCTGCGACCACAACTGAGTCGAGCCGCTAGCGAGAGGCAATGTCGAAAGTTCTTCCTTCTTCGGCTCCTCGTCCGACGGGGGCAATGGCGTGTCCCACGACTCCAGATGGGTGTACATGGACGGGTCGTACCGCTTTCGAGGCTCCGCCGCAGAAGATCGAACTCCTCCCTGACCTGCGGCAGCAGCCGGTCGTGCCTGCATGCCCACCATTAGACGTTCGCCTGCCGCCCGTCTTGTTGAAGCCTTCCTCTTCCGTTGTTGTTTCCACGACTGCCACGAAAAACACACGTGGAGGAAGACGACAACGAGTACCAGCAGAGGCAATCTCCTCCGCACGTCAGCCATGAAATTCACCTCTGCAGCCGCCCTCGCACGTGACCACTGCAGATGTGTGTTCCGACATGCCCGGGACAGGGGCGCTCAACCTTCATATGCGGACAACCACTACAGAAGACGACGAACACGCCCGCCTTCCTTTTGAAATTCGACCGTTGCATCCCGTGCTGCCCAAAGCGGCTCTGTCTGTCGTCCTGCGCATGTCGACGTCCCAGTCCGCATCTCGCAAGCGACCCAACAGTCTAGTACGGGCAACCACCCGCCGACGCTCGGCCCTCCGCGCTCCACCCCCTCTGCCAACGACTACCGTGCGTGGCTGTTGCCCGCGTCTAGCCGCAGAAAACCTCCGATGTCCGACCACCGACTCGACGGACCACTTCTGGTCCACCAATGAGTGTCGACGGTGCCATGCGCGCGACGCAACGACTCCGTGAAACGCGGGAATCCTAAATTTTTCAGTAGGTCGGGGGCTACTGGAAAATTACGGACGATTTTGCCTGGGGAATCCTAAATCTTTTAGGACTCGTCCTAACGCCGTTTTCACATTTTCGATCTCCGATTTCGTTTTAGGACTGTGTGCAACGAGGACGCAATCCTAAAAACAGGCATTTTTAGGAGTGTCTAACGAGACCCATTCTCCTGAGTATAATTTAAAATTAAAACATTCATGTTGGTCGGTGGTGAAGCAAGATATGGATCGAAGTGCAACGAGAAACCCCTCGACTACCCTGTTTAAAAAAGAAAGTATAATATTCTCAACTATTCGTTAGAAAAAAAAAATATTCATGTGCACTTCTTAGCAGCCGCAGTTTGGGCTTTGTGTGTGGTGCAATGTGATTTGGATCCAAGTCCGAAGGCCTATGTTGCACGCCCGGCCGCGGCTGGGGGTCCAAGTCGGCCGCGGCCTAGGCCGATGGCCGAATAGGCCGGGTTCGGCCTAGGCCGACCAACCGACTTCGGTGCAAGATTTTTATTTTTTTTTGTAATGCATGAAAAACAAAAAACAAAAAAATGGGCGTGAAGGGCTAAAAAAACCCTACACTTCTATTTTTTTTTTTTTGGAATCCGACTTTGTTTAAGATTTTAAAAAAATAAAAAACTAAAATCCATTTTAACAAAAT